ACCAGAAGAACAAGCATCCAAGATCAGAGCAGTGAGGAGTTCTGAAATGATTAAAACCAAATAAGGGGAGATAGGATCCCCTTGCCTGACTCCTCTAGAGGGTTTAATATAACCACTGACTTCACCATTGATTTTAAATGAGATAGATGTAGTAGTGATGCAAGCCATGATTAGTTTAACAAAATCAACATGAAACCCCATTTGAATCATTATCTTTTTGATACTAAGCCATTCAACCCTGTCAAATGCTTTCACTAGATCAAGCTTTAGAGCCATAAAGAAATTTTTGCCAGAGGAGTGCCTGTTGAGAAAATGAAAAGCTTCCTGGGCCACAATAACATTATCCAGCAATTGCCTCCCTTTAATAAATGCAGATTGTTGATCACTTATGCAATCCTTCAGACAAGATTGTAATCTTAATGCAAGGATTTTAGAGATTACCTTGTAGACAACCGAGCACAGACTGAGAATCAGGAGATGCACACTTGGGAATTAGGGACAGGATAGTATGGTTCCAATATTGCAAAATTTGCCCTGAGCTGAAGAAACTGATCACTGCAGCCACCAAGTCAGCATGAATTAAAGACCAGAGATGCTGGTAAAAGAAGGCACTCATACCTTCTTCACCTGGAGACTTATCTGGGGGAAGACTGAAAAGGGCAGATTTCACTTCTTCCTCGACTGGTAGGATAAGAGAAGTATTCATATCAGAGGTGATTGATCTAGGAATCAGATGAAGAACTGAGTCACCTCCCCAGGAGCCTTCAGAGCAGAACAGATTAGAGTAAAAATCAGAGATGTGGGATTGAATTGCAGATTGGGATGTGAGCTCTTCACCTCTGGAAGACACTAGTCTGGATATTGCATTCCTCCTTCTCTGTAATGTGTAGGCATGAAAAAATTTGGAGTTAGAGTTTTGAGCCAATTCATTCTCACCTTCTGGTTCCAGTAAAGCTCCTCTTGATGATGGGCCTTTTGGAGATCAATCCTGGTGGTGTTCCAGTCATCCCAGTTGTTGGCAATGTTCTGGGCTCTCAATTCTTCCAGCTTATGAGTGAGAGATGCTATTATGAGCTGATTTTGAGTATGAAATTTGGTGCTCCAGATTAAGAGTGCAGTTTTGGTGTTTTTGACTTTCTCTTTGAGTTTAAAAAAGGGAGTGCCTGAAACTGGAATCCTCCAAGCAGAAGACACTACCTCCAA